TCATGGTATATACTCCTTTAAAAATATTGCTGGATTGTATATGCCAGTATTTTGTTAAGTAATTTATATTCCTAAGAGATACTTGTTTGTAGCTCTTTTTTTTGAGACAGGGTCTCACTATGTAGTTGAGACTGACCTGGAATTCACTATGTGGCCCAGGCTGGTCTCAAACTCACAGCGATCCTCCTGCCTCAGCCTCCCAAGTGCTGGGAGTACAGATGTGCGCCACCACGCCCGGCTTTGTAGCTTTCTTGTGATGCCTTTATCTAGTTTGGTATCATGTTAATACTGGTTTTATAGAATGAGTTCGGAAGTGTTCTGTACTGCTTTTGGGAAAAGATTATGAAGAATTGGTACTAATTCTTTAAATAGTATTTCTCCCCAAAGAAGACATTGAGGCTTGGATTTTCTTTCTGGAAGTTTAAAAATTACTATTTCAATCTCTTAGAGGTCTACTCAGGTTTTCTATTTTTCCTTGAACTATTAGTCATTTGTATTTTTCTCAAGTTCTTTCCTCTTACTTATCTTATTTGATACAGTTGTTCATATTCTTTTATAATCTTTTTTAAGGTTAGTAGTAATGGTTCTTCTTTTATTACAGATTTTTCATCATTTGGGTTCAGGCTCTTGTCTCTCTCTCTGTCTCAGCTTTGTCATCTTTCTCTTTTGGTTGATTTATCTAAAAGTTTGTCAATTTTGCTAATCTTTTCAAAGAGCCAAATTTTGATGTCATGAATTTTGTTTTATTTTTCTCTACCTCATTAATTTTAATTCTGATCTTATTATTTTCTTTTTATCTGCTTATTTTGGGTATGACATGCTCCACTTTTTCTAGTGTCATAAGATAGTGAAGACCATTGATTTGATACTTTTCTAGTACAGACATCTAACTATAGATTTTCCTCTAAACTTTAGCTGCTTTCCACAAATTTTAAGTCATGTTTTCATTTTAGCTCAGTACTATACAAATATTATACTAATTTTTTTTTTTTTTTTGGAGGTAGGATCTTGCTATGTGTAGTGCAGGCTGGCCTGGAACTTGCAGCGGTACTTCTGCCTGGTTTGTTTTTTGACCCATGGATTATTTAGAAATATGTTAGTCTGTTTCCTAATATCTGGGTGGTTTTCCAAATATTTTCTGATATTGATTTCTCATTTAATTCCATAGAATATATAATCACATGATGTATTTATAATCACAGAATGTATTTCATAGGCTTAAATTCTTTTCTAGTTATATGGATTTGTTTTAAACCCAGCATGTTTTTTGTGGTACGTGTTTGATTTGAGCTAATGAGGAGACTTTTGTTCCGGTGATTTGGGTCAGAGTGCACTATAACTCCATCATGAATCAAGTTGATTAATAATCTTGCCCAGTCTTCTCTTTTTCTGTCTGTTTTTTCATAGTGGTATTGATCTTCAACTGTAACTATAATTTTGTCTGTTTCTTCCTCAAATTATTTTTGTTTCCATCCTGCCTACCAATCCCCTGCCACATCCTTTTTCTTTAAAAAAATATTCTTGTTTGTTTGTTTGTTGTACAGGGGATTGAATTCGGGCCCTTGTGCTTGCGAGGCAGCGGGTGGAACCACTGAGCCAAATCCCTGGCCCTAAAAAAATATTCTTAAAAAATTATATTCTAGTTGTAAATACATTAGGCCACTTGAAGTTATTCCACGGCTCACTGATAATTTGTGTATTCTCCCCCTTGTTTTCAATTTGGATTGTTTCTTTGCTGTATCTTTAAATTACTAGTCTTTTTGCTGATATTACTCATTTATTGAATCTTATGTTCTGATATCTTAATTTTCACAACTCATACACAAATACACACACACAAATATACACATGCATACATATTTCCAAGTTTCTCCTTGACATATTTAATTTTTATTCTAGCTTTTTTAATATATGAAATAGTCATAACTGTTTTCATGTCCTTCTCTACTTATTCTGTCTCCTATCATGTCTGTTTGGTTTTGATTGATTTTTCTCTTCATAATAGATTATTTTGCCCCCTTTATTAGGCAGTTTTTTTATTGGATGTCAGGTACTCTTAAGCTCTGTTTTGAGATACAATTAAGTTGGGGCTTTTTGTTTTGTTTTTACAAAGTCTTTAGTCTTGCTTGTAAATTTTGCAGAATAAAAGTGGCTTTTAGTATCTCTTTTTGGTCTGTTTCTTTGACTACTAAAGTGAAACTTGTATATGCTTTTTTCTTATAGCTGAGAAATAGGGCTCTCCACAGTATTTAATTCCATTCTTGTCTGACCTGATTATTGGATATCATTTGGTACGGGGCTGGTGATGTAGCTCAGTGGTGATGTCGCCTGTCTTTCAAACACAAGGTCCTGAGTTCAATCCCTGGTACCAAAAAAAAAAAAGCAGGAGGAAGATGTCACTTGGTACATTAGACTGGGGATTGAATCCAGGTTCTTCACACTGAGCTACATCTTCAGCCCTTTTTAAAATTTTTACTTTAGGCAAGGTCTCACTGAGTAGCTAAGTTGCCCAAGCTGGGCTTGAACTTGTGATCTTCCTGCCTCAGTTTTTCAGAGTACTGGAATTACACACCTGGCTTCATAGACTTTTTCTTGAAACGTGTTTTCCTTAACTTTCCCTGGCAATATATTTACCATGCTCCTCCCACCTCATCCCCTGCCTCTTAACACACGTTCTTTTTTTGCCATTTTTCTTTACTCACCTTTGGAAAATTCTCTTCCCTGAAAAAGTTGATGTTGATGTTCTTTAGGGTTATTTTCTAGGCCTTCTCTTATCGCCCTGTTTGACTCCCTCATCATCTCAGTCCTTATTTTTAATTGATAATTCTCAGATTTATACCTCTAGACATGTCTTTCCTGAGGCTCAGATTTTTTTTTTTTTTTTTGTTAAATCCAGGAGCATTGATTGTCTCAGTTTGTTCCAAATGAACTCTCTGCCTGATAAAACCTGCTTCCCCTTCATTGTTCCTTATTTTAAGTAATACCACAAGTAACTGTCCGCATGCTAAAGCCCAAACCTTTCTTATTTTCCCTTTCTTTGAAAATTACAAGAGCACTTTGAATTTAGCCACCCTGCTTTGGGAATTTATGCTACAGACATACCTGCATTCTTACAAAGGGATGATGTGCAAGGTTATTCATTGCTACATGTTTTAGAATACAAAAAGCTTAGGCATACAGTGATTCACCTGTCCATCTGTAGGGGACCAGACAAATTGAAGTATGGGACATTAGTCCGTTGGAATGCTATGATGCAGCTGTAAAAATGATTGAGGAAGCCATCTGTGTACTGAAAAGGTCACAGGATATGGTATTCAAAGAAAAAGCAAGGAACAGAACAGGACATGTATGCTATCTTTTATATAAAAAAAAGGGACAAATAATACATTCACATAAACAGATACAAGAAAGATGCCTAAGAAACTAATGAACCATGTTACTCTTACACTTTAAAAAATTATCAGATGAGAAGCACTCGGATTGTTTAAATTTCAACTAAATTTTAGATTAAGTTCTCACTTAAGCTTTGAGCATGTTCTTTATTTTTTTTAGTTAATTAATAATTTATTTATTTATTTATTTTGAGACAGGGTCTCACTATGTAGTTCAGACTGCCCTGCAACTCACTATGTAGCCCAGGCTGGTCTCATACTTGCAGCGATCCTCCTGCCTCTTAGCCTCCCGAGTGCTGGGATTACAGGTGTGCACCACCATACCTGGCTTTTTGAGCATGTTCTTAATATTGTATGTGTTTAGGTTTGTGGAGTCAGAATATCCTCTGTTTTTCCTTGTGATCACATTTTAGCATTAGTACCTACTTTGCTTACATAGTAGTGTCTCGATTCACAAATCTAATTCTTGCCACAGTTTTGGTCGCAAACTGAATTGATCACGAACCAAATCAAATTTCCTTGTGAGGTCAACATTGAACCTAATTATTGAATTAGGTTTGAGAACTGAGATACTACTTACTGTATGTAATGACTACTATTTACCATTTTCCCTACAACAGGTGGTATCTCGTAGTACAAAGCCATCTGTGGTGTGTTTTGGAATTGACTTACATCATTCCTGTTGTGACAAGTCTGATGTTTTTTGTTCTTGGCTTTTGATTTCATTCATTTAATTTTAGGAATGATTTTTTTTCTTTCATAGAGTAGTATGCATGACAGATTACCCAAATGTATAGTACATATGCGTAAGACATGTTAAGAGGTGAAATATATTTATATACTTCATTTATTTGCAAGGGCTTTGGACAGCTGGTGCTTTTTCATTATTAATTAAAGGCCTAGGAACTCAAAATTTCTGTAACTGAAATAACTTATAATCAATATTAGTATGTCTTGTGGTTTTTGGTTTTTTTTAACTTATTATGTAGCCTAGGCTAGACTGTAACTTGAAATTCTCCCACTTTAGCTTCTAGAGTGTTTGGAATATAGCTGTAAGACACCACACCCAGTTTAGTATGTTTTGCTTTTGTTTTACATACATTTAGATATTTTTATTAGAGGGCAGAATCAATAGGATATGTGTATCAAGAATAGCTAATTATTATTTTGATAGTACTGGAATTTGAACCTAGAGTCTTTATACTGAGCTATATCCCCAGCTTTGGAAATTAAAAAAAATTTTTTTGGTTTTGGTTTTTTTTGAGATATTGTCTTACTGAGTCTCTAAGTTGCCAGAACAGGGCTGCCTCACACTGCTAGAGTGTCAGGATTACAGGGATGCTCCAGTGTGGCAAAATAGTTTATTGTCTAATTAACCTATTATGTATGATAACTGGAAATTATGTGTGTGCCTTTCTAGCTTGCTTTCAATTACCAAGATAACAAAAAATAGAAAATGCTAGTGTTTTGCTATAATACTTTTTTATGTTGCTGCTTTTATTGTTTTCAGAATATTAGAAGTTGGCTGCAATGATACATTTAAAAATTCATTCTTGTTCTTTATTTCACTCTGAAGATCAATCACTGTCTCTGATTTGCCCCCCAAAGGTGTTCTTAAGGATTACTTAAGAGAGCTTCCTTCTCCTCTGATAACAAAGCAGCTTTATGAGGCTGTACTAGATACAATGGTAAAAAGTCCTTTGAAAATGTCATCAGGTGGTTGTGAGAATGATCCTTGTGATTCTAAGTGCACTGTTGATCTGTTGAATTGTCTGCCAGATGTTGAGAAGGTAAGTGTAATCAGCATACGTTTTTCCTGAAAGCCACCTCATGAATTATATGTTTAACTCCAGAGCTACAAACAGTTTAGGTTTTTGACATGTGGCACTTGAAAAGTTAAACTCTGCCTTTACTGCTTTTTAAACAGTATGAATCTATAAATCAGTTTTATTTTTTCTTTATCTCACTTTAGCCTGGGTAGGCATGAATATATCTTAGAAGTTTTAAAAATGTTTTATCTTATTATTAAAATGCTTATAGAAAAATTGAGATGAGTATAAAATTATAATTACCAATATCCAAAGGCAAGTCTAGTGAACATTTTGGTGTATTTCCTTCTAGTATTTTTAGATATGATAGGTGTTTTGGGTGTGTAAAGCTTACCCTTAAGATGTAAGTGAACCCCCTCCACCCCTGCTTTTTCTTCCCTCCTTGCCTCCCTGTTTGCCCCCTCCCCCAGATCTACTCTTGGCACCAGTATACTCAAGTACTGCAAAAGAGACAGGAAGTTGGCTGATCTGCAGAACCAGCCTCAGCCCAACTTCGGCCGCTATTCCTTAGAATAGAAGGGAAAATAAATGAAAGATGTGGCTGGACTTGTCCAGAGGAGGCTGACTTTGCCTGCATTTCTTACCGTGTGGAGGCAGAAAGTGCACGAATGAGTGGATAGGAACCTCAACCCCAGTAACTTTTTCCACTGGTTTATTGTGGTCCCTGAATGTCTTGTGATCTCTAATTAGACTTCTCCTTTGGGTGGCTGGGAATGTGGACAGAGTGGAGAAGCAGAGAGTAGGTGAAGCAGGAAGGAACTGCTGAAGAGGTAAAAATGTTCCCTCTCCAACACTGGATAAGATTATGAGTGCCACTTCTAAGTGAAGAAATAAGTGTTAGGGAATTTAAATTACATGCCCAAAGTTTTAGTTTTTGTGAGTGTTGTAATCTGTCACATGAATTTACCCATGCTATTAATGTCCTTCCTAGAATGTCTGTAAAATAGCCTATTGAGTGGAATTGATAGAACTCACTGTTCCCTGTTATATAATATTTAAAATTTGAGGGCCAGGGATTTAACTCTGTTGCAGTGCACCTGCCTTGAAAGTACAAGGTCCTGAGTTCAATCCCTGGTACCCCCCGCCAAAAAAAAATTGAACTTATTTGTACACAGATTTTTTTTTTTTTTTTGAGACAGGGTATTGCTATGTAGTTCATGCTGGTCTTTAACTCACTAGGTAGCCCAGGCTGGCCTCCAACTTGGAGCCATCCTTCTGCCTCAGCCTGCTGAGTGCTGGGACTACAGGTGTACATCACCATGTCTGACCACACATAGTTTTTTTTTTTTAGTTGGAATAGCTTATTGCAATAGAATCTCAGAAGTGGAATTACACTTTTAAATGATATGAATATTATAAGGCTCTTCATAGCAGTTTCCATACAGCCTTTCAAAAGGGACATAATAATTACATCTTTTGGCTTATTTAGTAGACACAAGGGCATTTTGCTTTAATTTGAATTTCTTTGTCTGCTATTGAGATTCAACCTAATATATTTAACCAGGTAGAGAATGTGTATGTTATATGTTGTTCCCAGTTATACAGGCAGTAGCCTTGAGAAGTCAGTGGAGCCCCATTTGTGTTAGGAAATACTGTAAGTGAAAAAGAAATACAAATTTATGATTTACAGGTTTTAATTTCAGTATTTCAATTTTAGACAGCTGTAGCTCTCATCCTCTCCTCATTCTTTCCCTTTACAACTGAACTTTAAAGAATGTTTATAAAGGCAACAGTGATAAATTGTATCAGTTCCACTCAAGATATATTATACAGCCATTCTAGTAAGAAATGTCATCACTTCTTCACTCATTTACTACTTACCAGCACATTATAATCTGACTTCCTACTTTTATCTCTTTGAAATTTTTCTTGTTTCTTTGTTTGTTTTGGTACCAGGGATTGAACTTGGGACCTTGCACTTGGGAGACAGGCAGTGGCACCACTGAGCTAAATCTCCAGCCCTGGACTTTTCTTGTTTAAAAATCCATTACAGCAAACCACTGAAACAACCTTTTAAAAGGATGCCTGTTTATATTTTGTGCCAGAAATTGTGTCCTTGTATTTGTCCCTATATGAGTATATTAAGTTCACTTTAATTTAATTTAATTTAATTTAGGCAACCCTAAAGATGTTGTTGGACCATTTGAAATTAGTGGCTTCTTATCATGAAGTGAATAAGATGACCTGTCAGAATTTGGCTGTGTGCTTTGGACCAGTGTTACTAAGTCAGAGGCAAGAGACTTCTACACATAACAACAGAGTCTTTACTGATTCAGAAGAACTTGCAAGTGCTTTGGATTTTAAAAAACATATTGAAGTTCTTCACTACTTACTCCAACTCTGGCCAGGTAAATGGTTCCATGGAAATATTTTTTAGTGATACAGGATCTGAATTACTCATTAAATATGTGATTGAAGAAAATCTTTTTTTTTTAATTTTGCTTTTTCAAATATTTATGAATCCATATCTGCTTTTTAGATTTTTTCCATTTATTTTTTCTGCCTTTGCTGATAATATTGTAGACATATAGGGGTCTGTGCACATTTTGGATTCAATCAGATCTGGATCTGAATCTTGGTTGTGCCACTTGTTGGCACTCTGACCTTGGGCAAGTTCCTAACCATCATAGAGCCTCAGTATAAAATTATTTCTAATTTTCCTGAATTACAATGCATTAATTATTTTAGACTCCTGAATCAGACTTTTTTGGATAATTGGGCTGATTTCTATATTTGGGGCCCAACATAAAGAATCTCACATGTTACAGTTTTAAGTGAGTATTTCTTTTTTCTGGAACTGCTTTAATTCTAACAAACATCACTAATTGGAACTGGAGCCATTTTATTGTAGTCACAAATGAAAACTTGCCTTCCTGGATATACTGTTAAGTTTACTATTAGTTTCTGAGTTTTTTGTCATTAACTGTATATCAGGGGTTATTGCTACTTAATAATTTTGTCATAGCCACCTTGGTCTTTGAGTTTGTGGATGAAACTCAGTTTATGTTCTTTGTCTAGAAAAATCAGGTTTAGATTTCATATTGTGTGATCTTATTTCAAAGATAAGTGTTACTGGTTTTAAAAATAATGCTGGTTTGTTGTTGTTGTTGTTGTTGTTGTTTGGTTTTTTGAGACAGCATCTCTCTTTGTAGTACAGGCTGGTCCTGTACATAGTGAGTAATACAGGCTGGGCTTGAACTTGAGGCAGTCCTCCTGCCTCAGCCTCCCAGTTGCTGGAATTATAGGCTCCACCATACTCTTTTTTTCTTTAAACGTTAAAAAAAAGTGTTTTTTTAACTAATATCTCAAATACAGGAAAAGATGGCAGAAGGATGAGAGGAAATAATAGTTTTATCCTTTAAATCACTGGTATTGGATTTAAGAAAATGTACAGTTGCTAGCCATGAGAAAATAGGTAATGATGTGCGAATGTGGTGAGACTGGACCACAGCTGGTTACTTTGGTGGATGCCGATTCATCCCCAGGCATTCAGGAGGAAGTTTCCGTGCTACATAGCTGCATATCTTATTTTTCTTTTTGGAATTTCTTCCACTCCAGAGTTATAAAGAGTTACCCACACACCACTTTTTTTTTGCTACCAGGGATTGAACTCAGGACCTTGCACTTGCGAGGCAGATGGCAGAACCACTGAGCTAAATCCCCAGCTCTTTTTGACTTTTTTTCTTTTCTTTTTTTTTTTGAGACAGGGTCTCACTACATAATTGAGACTGACCTGGAATTCACTATGTAGCCCAGGCTGGTCTTGAACTCACAGTGTTCCTCCTGCCTTAGCCTCCTGAGTGCTGGGATTACAGGTGTGCGCCACTTTGACATTTCTGTTTGAAAAATTGTGCCTTCAAATTGATTAGTTAGAACTCTAGCTTATCAGCATTAGAAGGTAAAAATCGTCCTGCCAATCGTTAATTCAAATCATTTCCCACCAAGTCCCAAATTATTTCAGATAACTTTGGGGCTGGATTGACAAATGGCCAGGGAAACACACTTCTCTTTTGACTTCTCGTGTTTTATGTTTTGTTTGTTTTATGTTATGTTTGGGTTATGTGTTAGCTTTCCCAACACTGGGACACAATACCCAGTAACCACAAGTTAAAGTAGGAGAGGTTTAATTTTATGGTTTCAGCAGTTGCAGTCTGTGGTCAGCTGGCTCCAAGGAAAACTATGGTTCATTATGAAATAAATTTTGACTCTACGGTAACTTTCTGTTTTTTCAGAAATTGAATTTTTTAGCTAAGAAAATATAACACTTGAATTTTATTTCATTAATTAATTACTTTATTTATTTTTTGGTACTGGGGATTGAACTCAGTATCTTGCGCTTGTGAAGCAGGTGGTAGAACCACTGAAAATCTCCAACCCACACTCAAATTGGTTTTAAAAATATTTTTCAAGAAAATATACAAAAATACTATTTCATAGAGTCTTGGCTAAAAACAGCCTTAAGAAACTGGCACCAAGAGAAGTCTGAGTTGGGCAAAGTGGTGCCTACCTATAATCCAGGTGCTGTAGGAGCTTGAGGGAGGAGGATTGCAAGTCCAGCCTAGGCAACTTAGACCTTGTCTCAAAACAAAAAATAAAAGGGTTAGAGATGTAGTTTAGTGTAGTTAGATGTAGTTTAGCTCTGAGTTCAGTCCCCACTACCACAAAAAAAAAAAAAAAAAAAAAAAAAAAAACTCTGGATTTGCAGGTGAATGTTAGAAAATATAGGCATGATAAGATTGTACACACAGTCAAAAAGTATGTGATTGGATCAGATCAAATGACCCGAAGGTTAGCAGTGTATCATTAATCGATTTATAAAACAACAGGCCTATAAGATCCAAATTGTATAACTGACAATATGAAACAGGGAGAAAAGGGCTAAAGGTGTAGGGGAAGTGGGAAGGGTAGGGGAAAGGAAATAAGAGAAAAAAATATGAGAAAAAGAAAAAATGGAAACAAACGCTTGTAAATAGGGAAGGGGAGGAGGGGGTGAAGGGAGGGCAGGGACAAGGGGAAAAAATGAGAACCAAGACCTGTCATGTAAAGGTACAAGATCCTAATGATGAATGTAACTGTACTGTATGCTTAAAAAGTACCAATAAACTCAATGAGGAAAAAAAACCAAACAGGCTTGATAATTTAGCAGTTAAAAACAGGAATAGCACAAAGACTAAAGGGACAAAGCAAGGAGACAGTGAAGATAAGCAGTTATATCAGATAGTGGTATAGAATATTTTATTCTGACATTAAGATCAATTTATAAAGTAAATAACCAGTTTATATTTTCTGGAAAATTTTAGATAAACTTTTTTGACTATCAATAATGATATATAATAACCATCACAAAAGTGCAATAGGTAGAAATTTTAAAAACATGCCAGTACACAATTATGAAATACTCTAATAAAATACAAGTAAAAATTAATGGTCTGAATATAACTAAGTCTCAAAAATGAGAATAAGCAAGTTTATATAGTTTTTTACTTGTCTTATTTTGTACAATAATAAACAAGCATTCAATCAATGTTGTAGGTTGGTGTGTTGTCACCAGTTTATACTTTTATCTTAATGAGGGGAAGTATAGAAAGAGGCATTTATTAACAGACAGTAAATAAGCAAAAAAAATTCATATGCCTAACAGCTATGCCTGCATTTCAGATTAAGTCAATTTTATATGGAGAAGAGGCTTAAATATTTTGTTCAGTATATACAAGAGTGAGCAGTAAAGCCAAAATTTGGTATAAAATGTTTTTCTCTACAGTAACCCTCTATATGGCTAATACAGTGTCAGATATAATATGACTTATATTAAAAAGAAAATAGTCTTAAATGTTGTTTGGTATTGTTAAATATTTAACCAGGTTGGGAAAATAAAATATCTGTACTATTTACAGGCAATAAATGAAGACTATTAGTAGCTAATGCTGTATAATCAAACTCAGGTAACAGATGGTTAAGTCTAGTCTTTGTGTACTTAATCCAGATGAACTTTGGGCTGCTTAGTAAATTATGACACTGCTGCTAATTGCAAAAAGCCCACTTAAGGTCAGAACTTTTGGAGTAATCACATTAGATGCCTTTGCCTCATTTAGTGTTTGCAGACAATGGAATTTTTGTTTTGTTTGTACACCAACATGCCTTGCCTGCTTTTTCGCTGTAGCCTTTAATTTAGGAAAAGCTACCAGCTTAGCTACTGTTTGAATTATAGCTAGATAATTAACTTGCACAGAAAATTAATCAACATTGGCAATTTGATTTATTTGGGGACATTTTGATATAGCATGAATTGGCACCACTGAATATTCTGCTAGCTTCTACGCCTAATCTTGATTATGTCTGGTAATAGAAAAAATAATTATGGAATGCTTCCATTTGATAGTATGCATGTTCTTGTTTTAATGCATGTTTGTAGTTGATTGCGAAATGGTTTTTCTTCTGTTTTTTAAGACCAATTGGATTCCTGTCACTAAAACACATTTACTGTTGATTTCTAGTGCAACATTTAACTGTGAAAGAATCAGCAAACACTTTGTTCCCAGAGCAGTCATCTTCTCTGAACTATCTGAGGCGGAAGAAAGAACGACCTCACATGTTAAATTTGAGTAGTACAGATTCATCAGGAGTACTTAGGCCAAGGCAGACCAGATTAGACAGTCCACTTAGCAATCGTTATGCGGGAGACTGGAGCAGCTGTGGAGAAAACTACATTTTAAATAAAAAAGTAAATTTAAATGATGTGGATTATGATGATGTACCTTCAGAAGATAGAGAAGATTATAGCAAAATGGATGGATCAGAAGTGATGCTTGAACAGCCAATTTCCACATCCAGAGAGTGCACATTTCAGTCATATTTGACAATGCAGACAATTGAGTCTACAGTGGATCGAAAAGTTAATCTCAAAGATCTACAAGAGAGTATTGATACTTTGATTGGCAATCTGGAACGTGAGCTCAACAAAAACAAACTTAACATGAGTATTTGAAATTGAGGGATTTTATCTGGTTTTTAATAATGTCTTAAAGTTTCATATTACTCCTCATTTTCTTATACCTCTCATGGTGTTTTTTAAAAAAATTTTTTAGTCCTGAACCTTCAATTAATTTCTAGTAAGTTCATATGATTCAATTAGAGACACTATCCAGTAATATAATTTCTACTAATCTTGTGAGAAAATTTCTCTAGGGGTAAAGGTAACTGGACTTTTTGAATATTTTAATAAACCTTGCCAGTTCTGTGGAGGTAACTTTCTAATGCACTTATAAGGTTCAGGTAAGTTATTAGCTCAAGGTTTTATATTTTATAGGAACTGCTTTTCTGTAGCTGAGACAGACGTTCCTTTTAGGAATAAGTTGTTCCAGAGGAACATTGCAGCTGCCCAGTCTGACTTGCAGTAGGAATCCTTATACACCGCAATATCATGTGGTCTCATTTCATTTGCAATGCAAAATGCTGCTATAAGAAAACCTTTTTATAAATAAAAGTAAAATTATACAAATAATGTATTCTGTATTAACATTCAGTAATTATTTAAGCTTATGCAAATTAAATATTTTTATAATCCTGAAAATATGTGTATATTTTAAGTGCATATATGTATAGGTATTAAAATGAGAGGAGGGGTTGACTGTAGAATCACATGTACTTTTTTTTTTTGTTACTGGGGATTGAGCTCGGTACCTTGTGCTTGTGAGGCAGGCAGTGGCACCACTGTCACATGTACTTTTTAAGATATATATGTCATAGGACCAACATTATTAGCTAAAAATGTCTTTTTCAGGGAAAGGACATTTAAGTTAAAGGAAGATTTACATAAAAACACTTGAATAAAAACACTCTAGAAGCATCTGAGTAGAAATAATAGACTCTCTTTTTGATTTATAGATAGTCACAGTATTCTCTGTGAAAAGTCATCTTTTAAAGTGACAAAATCCTTCTTTAACTGATAAAGTGACAAGCTTTCTGCACTAGTAACTTAGATTTGAACTTTCAACTCTGCTATGCATTCTTGAATTTGGTGATGGTGTTAAATATTTATTTTAATAGCACATTTATAATGTTGACTTTATAATTACCCCCTTTGTTTCTAAAGAAATCATCTTGCCAGCATATTACATGGCACTGATTTTTTAAAAGTAATTTATTTGGACTAAATACATCTGTAAGTTCTCATAGCTATCACAGCAGTATTTGAAGATGTAAGTTTGGAAGACTTAAAATTGGAATGTATTTTTTAAACATACCTACAGAATGTGTAATTTTAAAATTATAAATAAAATTTAAATTACTAACTTTAAGGTATAACTGCTGTTTAAAAAACTGACTTCCTCATGTTTTTCTAAATATGATAGTATTGAACTATTTCCAAGCAATACACATTGGTAAACAGAGCACCTTATTTTGAGAGGCCATCAATGAAAATACAAGTATCTTTTTTATATGAAATTTTCATTTTTTAAAGCTTTTTTAATGATTTAGAATAAAAAACAATAACAACAACAACAAAGTGATAGGTGTATGTCATGAGTAAACAAGACAGTACTGTTGGAACCAGGCATGGGAGGATCGTCAAGAGTTTGAGGCCAGCCTGAGCTGCACAGTAAATTCAAGTCCAGGCTGACCTACATACTACTGCCTCAAAAAATATAAACCAAAAAAATTTTTAAATATACTGTTAAAAGTTTTGTGAGAATATGTTTTCTTCCTTTTGTTTATTGTATCATGCATATTATATGAATTGAAAAGTTCTTCCAGAAATATAAAAATTGTATTAAAAGATTATAACCTTAGTGTCATGCTGTTGTCATAATTATTTTAAGGATCTTTTAATAATCTTAAACATTATCCATTAAAGTATGTATAATAATATTTATTGGTCCAAAGTTGAATTTTCTAGAATCTGAAATGCTTTAAAGACCATACTTGTATTACTGTATTTTATTTTGAATGAAAATAGTTCTTAAAATTAATCACTGCCAATTTAGAGAATTCTAAACATTATTTGTTGTCTGAGTCACTGAGTGGTAATGATAAACAATCTGTTATAAACTGCCGCTTTCAGAAATACTGAATAAGTTTAAATGTCTTCATTTTAAGTGGTCTTTTATTTCAAACCTTTTCAAGTTTGTATACCTGCTTTTTATAATTTTTGGAATCTCCCTACACAGACTGTCATTACTACTTTCTGAGCAGCCAGCTTTGATGTTTGAAGATTTAAAAGTTTTGATTTTAGTTCATATACCTGAGTAAAAATTCTGAACAATTCGGACAAAATAAAAAGTGCTCCTGTCTGCCATCCACAGTTTGTTTCTTAGAGCTAATAGAATGTTTATTGCTGCTGTTCCTAAGCAGGATTTGTTGATTGTCCACTGTGAATGCATTTTTGGTTACCTTTATAACTTTAATTAGTAAAATCTTTGTTTCTTGATCCATTGAATTTAAACAGTGTGTTGTTTAAAAGAGGAAATGGCCAGCTCTGTACTTTCAACTTTAAATCACCTCATTTCTGTAAATCATACTGTTTAGGTTATCACTGTTAATGGATGTTTATTATTTTGGGGATCTATACTTCACTTATATTTTCTGTTTATATATTGATTTCAAAAACTGCAAATTAGGACAGGGGTAGAGCTCAGTGGTGCTGTACTTGCCTGGCAAGTGCAAGGTCCTGAGTTCAATTCCTGGTACTGGAAAAAAACAAAACAAAACTGCAAATCAGTAACTAGTTATTGTACTGTAGTATGTAAAAGTATTCACAGTAACCAGGTGATTTATCTCTTTCTGCATATCTGTACCCTTTATATCTTTTCTGCATACCCATACCCTTTATATCTACCCCCCCCCATACTGGGATTGAAATCAGGACTTTGTGCCTTCAGCAGATGGCAGCACCAGCACCACTGAGGTAAATGCCTGGCTCCATCTTTGTATCTTTTTTTATTTTTATTTTATTTTTTGGTATGGGGATAAAGTGGTGGTACCACTGAACTAAATGTCCGGCCCCCGTCTTTGTATCTTTAAGTCTATGCTCATTTAAGCAAAATGTTTCAAACATAAAGGAATAGCTTCTTTTCTTTTATAGTCATAATTCTCCAAATCATGCCATTTGTTATTTGCTTCATAATTGGGTCATGGCTTTCACTTATTTTTATTTTTTCTGGAATATATGATTGCAAATACTTTAACTTATTTATTTATTTTTTTAAAATTTAATAGTCTCACTATGTCGTTGAGACTGACCTGGAACTCACTGTGTAGCCCAGGCTGGTCTCGCACTTGCAGCAATCCTCCTGCCTCAGCCTCCCGAGTGCTAGGATTACAGGGGTGCCCCACCACACCCGGCTTTCACTATAGAGTTCTTTCACCTCTTTGGTCAGGCTGATTCCTAGGCAGTTTTAGTTTTTAAAGCTATTATTAGTGGAATTTTTTCCTGCTTTCTTTCTCAGCAAGTTTGTTATTGGTGTGTAGAAAGACTATTGATGATTTTGCCTGTTGATTTTGTATCCTGCTACTTTGCTAAATTTGTTTGTCAGATCTAAATTCCTTTGGGTGGGGTCCTTAGTCTTTTAAGTATTGGATCAAACCATCTTCAATAGTGCAAATTTGACTTCCCCTTTTTCTACTTGTATCCCTTTTATTTCTTTCTCTTGCCTAAGTGTTTTGGCTAAAATTTCCTATACTAAGATGAAGAGTGGTAAGAGTGCATGTCCTTGTTCCTGGCTTTAGAGAAAATGTTTTCAGTTTTCTCCAGTTCTATATGATTGCTATATAACCTTTATTATGTTGTAGTACAATCCTTTCTGTACCTACTTTCTTTAGGGCTTTTATCATGAAGAGATGTTGATTTTTTTTTTTTTTTTGTACCGGGGATCAAACTGGGGACCTTGCTCTTGCAAGGCTGGTGGTGGCAACACTGAGCTAAATCCCCAGCTAGATGTTGAATTTTGTTGAAGATTTTTTTTCTGTATCACTTGAGAGAATAATGTGATTTTTATCCTTGATTCTATATTTTCCTTGATTGTATTTATTGGGTATGTTAAGCCTGATTTGTGTATGTTGAACTATTCTTGCATCTCTAGAATGAAATAAATCTGCTCATGGTGTTTAAAAAAAAATAAAAAATCTATGGAGGAGAAGTAATAAAGATAGTGAGAAATGATTGGATTGTGCATACATTTTGAAGTGGGACCCAAAAGAATCCGCCAGGACTGTTGGGGAGTGAAGCCTAGCAGCTTACAAGATTGCTATCAAATGAGATTGAAATAGCTTTTTCATATTTTTAAATGAGTCTCTCACATTAAATATTATAAATATGGTAGATATCAAATATCTTGATATTCTGTTGCCTAGTAACACTAGTGCTTTTGTAGTTGTGATGATTCTCTGACAGTCAGTATCAGAAGCAGAAAGCCTATGTCATTGTATATTGTCCACATAAATGTCTTTGGGAAATTTCAGATGTCTAGCTTAATATTAGGGAATCTGAGACTTTTTTTCTTTTTTTGCGGTAACAGTGATCGAACTCGTGACCTTGTGTTTGTGAGGCAGGCACAGTGCCATTGAGCTAAATCCCCAGCCCATTATTAGGGAACCTAAAGAAACAGATTTGGGTAGTGCCATGGTTCTGAAAAGAATTTTGCTTTTGGACCAGAGGATGGATTTGTAGGTTATGATTCTGTAATTTTAAAACATTTTTAGGTGCTTTGATATGATATAATTATGTTTAAGGATAACAAGTCCTAAGTACTTTAGTATGAGGAGAAATATTCTTTTGCCCTCATCCCTGTTTCAGATTTTGGATTCATTATGGTTCATAAGTGTTACAAGTCAGAGTTCTTGGTTGCATTCTGACTTAGCAAAAAAAAACTGACTGGCTACGTCATGCAGATACTGAATGTATTGAAAAAAAGTATGTCAGATGCAACACTGTTTTGGGGTGCTGGCCAAGTTTTATATCTTGGTCTAGGTAGTGTTTTCATAGGTGATGACATATACCAAGTGTCATCGTTTAAGATTTGTGGCCTTTATAAGTTATTCAATTTTTTAAAAGTTTATTTTTCAAAAAACATTGTTAAACTGAAGAAATAGACTTGGGAAATAGGCAGAAATGCAGATAGGCTAAGTGGACAGAATGACGGCAATCAAGATCATGTCTGGCTGGACATGGTGGCGCACGCCTGTAATCCCAGCACTCGGGAGGCTGAGGCAGGAGGATCGCTGAGAGTCAGAGACCAGCCTGGGCTACACAGTGAGTTTCAGAGCAGTCTGAACTACATAGTGAGACTCTGACTCAAAAAACCAAAACCAAAAAAAAAAAAAAAAGGATCCTGGTTGTGCCGCTCCTTTGTTACCACTGCCACCACACATGGCACCATGGCCACCTTTGGAATTAATTATCAGACATCTTTTTCTACATGATGCTTGGCTCAAGGTCTCTTAAGCATCAGATTGGATCCCGGCCCAGCCCTGTATCTCTCCTATCAAAGGTATGAGTGCTATATGTCCTGAAACTGAACTTCAGTTTATTCCTGCTAGCATTGTAGTCTAAGCCACTATCACATCAGTTCCTTCCTGTTTTACCCCCACTATCACTCCTTTCCATCGTCCCCATCCAGTCTATCCATAGAAACCAAAGTGACCAGGAAAAAGACCAAATCATTTCGCAGACCTTTCCTGGCCCCAATCTCTAGCAACCTCGAGGGGCTCATCCCTGTCTGGTGGTCTTTGCACTTGCCCTTCATTCCCTGTGTCTGGAAAGCTGTGAGCCCACTTAAGTATGCAGCTACTTTTTGTCATTGCTGTCTCCACTCAAATGTTGCTTCAAAGAGGCTGTCTCTGAAAGCCAATCGGTATCCTGCTCTGAGAATTAAGGAGGAGAAGAATTTGGGGATTTCCTAATGGCATTCAGCTTTAGACATAACTTCGGTACATGTTTGCATTTATACCAGATTTTAAATTGAAAATTTAAAAACAATATCCACACGCCTTGTGACTGTCATGTTGCCATGGCTTATTTTTATCAAGGTGTTTTTATCTGAAACTACCTTGTTTTATTTATTACCTATGTTTGTCTTTCTAGACAGTAATCCAGTGTGGGAGGGACCTCATGTATGTAGTTTATTGCTGTATGTCTAGGGAATATAAGTAGAAGATGCTCAATTGTCAATAAATGAATGTAAAGGGGTACTTGGAGAATGATTATCCTTTTGTTAAGGACCAAAGACTGTAATACACAATTTTTGTATTTTAAAAATTATTCACTCCTGAATAATAAATTATTTGTGTTAAGAAAGTGTTAATCTTTTTATCTTAAAAATGGGTCCTTTTGTGGAATTAGAGTGGTCTTGGGAAAATTAGTGACTTTAAAAGTTAGTGTGATTGAGTAATTGTTTTAGTAAGTTTTTGTTGTAGAATAGAAAGAGGGCAGGGGATTTAGCTCAGTGGTTCTGCCACCTGCCTCGCAATGGCAGTGACCTGAGTTTGATCCCCGGTACCAAAAGACAAAAACAAAAACAAGAGGTACTTAACATCTATAAGAAAAACGGTCTATCTCACCGCAAGAAAGGAAGATCTCAAAACATTTTATTAAAATGTATAATTTATTTCTTTATAAAAATGGTGAACAAAATGTCTTAATTTTGATCTGGTTTTCTAGAACATGCATTTTCTCTAGAACTGGAAAAGCCAATTTTTACTTTATTAAAAGAAAGTATTTTCATAAGCTTGAATGCACCCAGTAGATAGAATTTTTGCTTATTGAATAGCAAAGAAGTTAC